GCTTATTTACTAGTTTAAACGATAAAAATGTCCACATTTAAGGAATCGATACTGATACTGCACGAAAACCGGTCTTCAAGGCAGTCATCCGCAAATAATGGATAAAAAACTCCTTATCCAATGGACAAAAAGAGAATGACAAGAGAAAATATAAAATATAATGAGTGAATGGCGTATAGATGAATGGAAAGAGAGATCGACTGATTGTGTACTCTGCATGAAAGGCACATTACACATTTAAAATGAAGGATAAGCGAAGCCTGTTGGGTGGCGAGTTCATTTGCTTCTTATGAAAGACGATAAAACAGTAGTCGTAGTGGAGGCTAATGCAAGTGAGCTGACCGTGTGGCAATAATTTAGGATACTCAGGTAGTTAGAAAATCGAGTAACTTGCATACAGAAAGACATTTCAGAAAAATAGGAATATATATTCCAAGTTGCTCAAAAAAACACAGAAAGCTATTGTAAATGCAGCTCAAATCGGCCATTAGAGGGGGAAATAAAAGAGTAGACTAAAAAGCAATCACATGGAAGCATTCGTAGCATATATGAAATTTGTATGTGCGTCTTCGCACGCGTTATCGTAAAAGTAAGGCCATTGTATGCTCACATAAATAAATGAATGAATATAGATATATAGGGGTGAAAATAATACGAAGTAAAAAAGTATCAGTGCATTTACAAATGGAAACAAAAGGAGATTACAAAAAGGAAATGTCGCATGTGATTGGATGAAATATCGAATCCACTGAGGAGCAACCGTGGAAGGGAAGCTAGGAAAACGGGAATGAATGAAAAAGACAGTAAACGAAATGGTGAAGTATGCAAGTGGTCTTTAGCTATCTGGTCAGGCAGCGGCAAGTCTCAGCTGTCTGCTTCAGGAAGACGAGGCCTAAAATGAAGAGGGTGGCAAGTAGGAAGCAGTTGTTGAAGCCAGAGGAATTGACGCGAAATGAGCCGAACTGATCGCTTTTTCATGTAGCGAAGACGCTTTGACTAAATGGCTTAATAGTCCAACGCGAAGAGCCGAAGGCGAAACAGCCGTGCCTGCCAAACTGGGAATTTTCTTATCTCCACCAGTTGGCGAAATCATGTCAGTGATAGGCTTTATTGAGCCAGAACCGATCTCAGCTCCGAAAATAGGGGTAGAAGTACAAGGCAACAGGTTGGCTGCGCTAAGTGCATCCACCGCAGCATTCAGTGAAACCTCCACTGAGCAGCCCCCAAGTGGTAGAGAAAAGAGTCGCGGCTGTGGTAGAGCCGCTGTAGTACACGCCTGGCCCGAAGTACATACATGCCTGTCTTCAACTGCAGGCGAACCAGCGGTAGCTGCCAGATTTAGAGCAGAACTGCATGAATTAAGTGCACTGGCAATGCCGTTGGAAACTGAGGACTTAGAGGAACTCTCCGGAGAAGGCAAAGTCGACTCAGATCGGGACTCAACAGAACGGTAAAAAAGCCCAGTTCCAGATGGGCCTACTACAGCATCGGCTGCGTGACTCAAAAGATCGCTGAACCTGTGAGCATAATTAGAGAACGCCTTAATTCAGGTTGTTCAATGCCATTTGTTTCATAGGGCCACATAACAATATTCGTAAGATAGTAGGGTTTCGAGACTACCAGTAAATCATTGTAATGAGATGCATTCACCCTATTTCGTGTAAAGTGATGAAGGACTGTTAGTAGAATTTTCCCACAATGATATGAGTTGAGCTGACGTTTCCATTGAATTTCCCATAGCCTTGCTTTC